AAGAATACATATCCTTTGGTTCATATTTTCTCGAAAGTCCATATCTGTTCCATGTTGTATTCAAAATGTAAACAAAGCAGTTATTAATGTATTTATGGATTTATTTTTAATCTGTCATATCTATTATATCAAAGGTTATTTTTAAACAGTGTCTATTACCTCTACTGGCCTTATATAATAAAGAAAATGTGTTCGTCGCCATTTTCTTTACTAAGTTTTTTCGAGTGCGAAGGCTGATACGCAAATCACTCTACCAAAAAGAAAAAAGCATTGCATAGGAAATCAAAGAGAATAGATTTGGCCCGCACATCGCTGTATATCAATGCCATTTAAAAGCCCGTGAAAGTATAAAAAGACTTCTTCTTCTATGTGCCATCTCCCTTCAGGATATGGGCGATCATGGCTCTTCACAACTACCTTCACTTAGTAAAGTCTTTCTTTTTGTTATATCTTCTAATTCCTGCTATACCAACCATTTACTCTCTTGCCTTCAATATGTCCAGTGAGTGTCAACTTTTCCAAGTCGTCTTTCCTCATAATGTGTCCTGAAAATTTCAACTGTGTCTTTATGATGCTAAGTATAAGTGTACTTTTTGTTTTCATTTTCTCTAAAACTTCCACGTAGCTCACGTGAAGTAATTTTTAAAAATATCGTTAAGGTGTTTTATATTAGTAAAAATAATTCTTAACTATACTTGATCCTTCTTTATTCGTATCTAATAGTCCGAAATAAAATCCTTTGTTGAAACAGGCATATCATTATTTTAACTTTTTATTCTCTCTCTGTTTCTGTTCGTTAATCTATTCTTTGACATAAGCACTCATAGATATATATGTATATATATTTGAAGAGATAGCAAACGGAAGTATTTATAAAAGGAAACAATGTTAAACTTTTTTTAAGTGTACCATCTAATTAAAATGTTAATTTCATAGGTTTAGCATTCGTCCAGGCATTGAATATTGCTTTCACATCGGTTCTGATACTTCTGTTCTGCATTTAGAGATTCTTGATAAAAAAACAAAAAACAAAAAAAAAAAAAAACATAACCCCCCCCCAAAAAAAAAAATAAAGTGTGATTGCAATATTATTGGTCCCGACCCGGTATATCGCCTTTAGTCATTTTCCCACCGCCGTAATGTAGTTTCCTGTGCCTTTAAATATAAATATTTTCAAGGTAATTGTTCTGATGAGCTTTCCTCTATTGGTACCTAGAATCTATCAATTTAAACGCATTACTAGATTGGTGGGTAGGTCTCATCATTTTACAGTTGAAATGGCTAGATGTAACCGGATGTTCTTTGCTAACAGTTTCTTCTCTTGCACGTACCTCTCACTTATAGAATTCTCTTCCGGCTTCTTGCTTTCCAGTCAACTTTGGTCTTCAAAAATTTAAATGCAATGCCAATTTTTATCTTTATCTTCTGTCTTCTTAATTTCTGCTCTTTTATTGTTCTCGCACCTTATGCATGTATATTTACAGCAAAAAAAAAAATCCGAAGTTACCTCATGTGTATATAAATTTATTTCAGCCAACGCTAAGTACGTTGGTCTTATTCAACCCAGTTGGATGGACTGTATTCGTAAGGGAATCAGAGATTTTAGAATTTAACAGTTGAAAAAAATGATACCGAACCTACCCAAATCGATGCCTCAGCCAGACAAAATGCTCGAACGGTGTTAAGGAGAAGACGGAAGGTATCTGTCTAAAAGGTAAGAGGCTCAACAGATTCAGCCTGTATATTAGCCTTTATGACAATAAGATGGTGTTACATAAAGAATGAGGTTTTGAATTGAAACTAAAGGAGTGCTGAAAAGGGAGTTTATATATAAACAAAATTTATATTATATATAAAGGAATTTAGATTACTACTAAAAATACCAATTTATACTTACAAATGAGATGCATTAACAAGATTAACAACAAATCGTATTTATATAAAGAAAGAATATATTTAAAATAAATCTTATATTATTAAGGAATAAAGAATTTAATTTTTGTACGCTTCGTCCTTCTTCAGGTGATAGGAATTTCGAACCGAACCCTTTATTTCCTCCACCGGGGTAGATTGTTTAAATTCCACGTGCCATGCCTCTTCCGGGTGTCTCAGTTATTTTCCTTTAGCTCAAGTCTCCAAGTTTTGGTTTCCCACTTCTATGGCTTGGTATTGAACTTACAACTCTTTGGGTCTAGTCACTGGATCCACTGGGCCGTGTGTCCCTGAGGACGCATGCCCCATTGGATACCAGGCCACAGCAGTGGCGAACCAAAACTTGGAGTGTTGAGTTAAAGGGAAATAGCTGATACATCTGGAACAGGCACGACACGTGGAACTAGAACAATCTTAACTATTTTAAGGTTAGAAGAAATCTCAATCCTAAGTTATTGTAATTTAAAGGCTCTAATGATTTTCTTTATAACTTAACAGTAAATAGACCATTACTATTGGGGAGTCCATCATCTCTATGTAGGCCTACTAGTTTTCCATATACAATGCTACTAAAGTATATCTAAAATATAAAAACATACTAAATCAGTTATCTTGGCTGAATCATATGTTCCCATATGGACATCAAAATCATCATTAAGGCACTTAGTTCAGGTGGAATTATTAACTGCTAACAGTGATTTCCAAGCAATTAAGATGATTAGTTTCATCATTCATTATCTTTTTCGTAAAGTTAATACAATTGACCAAGAGATCCCTGGATATAGAGGAATAAAAATCTAAAATATCAAACTTAATAAATGTAGCTCTATTCTTACAGTATTTACATTAGTCGGACTATTGTCCTCATCTTTGTCGCCATATTTGTCACAACGTTTCGGCCGTTGTACGCTCCGGCCTTCTTCAGGTGGTTGGAATTTTGAACTGAACCCTTTATTTCGATCGCTGGGGTAGACTGTTCTAATTCCACGTGCCATGTTTGATGGATGTCAGTTATCAGTTATCTCCTGCTAATTTTCCCTCTGAAAGTTCTCCACTGCCTTAACCAGGAATTGAACTCACCTTCTTTGGGTCTGTCACTGGATCTAACCAACGCCTTTATCCACTGTGCCATGTGTCCTTGAGGACCGAAATAAAGGGTTCAGTTCGAAATTCCAACCACCTGAAGAAGGCCGGAGCGTACAACGGCCGAAACGTTGTGACAAATATGGCGACAAAGATGAGGACAATAGTCCGACTAATGTAAATACTGTACATAATACCTCATCTCAGAAATATAGACAAGCTCTATTCTTATCACTCATATTGGCGAACCATTTGATAGTATTTGACTAATCCTTCCAAAGATTAGCACAGGTTGTAATTAGTAGTTTATCGGTTATTTTAGGCCTAGTGCAGATAAGGCCTAGTTCAGTTTTAGTTGGATTTATTAGTATACATTGGATATTATGAGCGAAGTTAGGTTTGTGGTCCTTAAATAAAATGTAAGCATCTTTGGTATGGATCTTCCCCGCTCTATCCGCAATATTTCAATTATTTGCTATCTTGGTAGTCTCATTGTCAATCTCGGATATCCTGCTGTTATATCTGCCGAGTTTTTATGAATTAATTATTTTGTCAGTGAGAGTTTTATGGGACTACATTTATAAATATTTTTGGATTTGTCAGCTCTCTTTGGAGTTTTTAATATTTTTTATGTCCTTGTTTGATTTTTCTTGAAATTGGTTGGACTACTTACTAATTTTTTTATTTTTTTTTTAACTATGTTAAACAGGTTTCTTTCAAATGGATCCAGGAGTTTGCAGGAAGGTGTATTTTTTGGGGTGGGGTGGGGAGGGGGTTTAGATTGTAGGCTTCGTATTTGTGATTTGGTGTTTCGGAGGGGTTGAACTAGAGATGCACTTTCCATCGTAATCTATTCACAAAGTCAAGTTCCCCCCCCCCCGTGAGAAACAGATTGAACGAGAGCAGAAAAATAACCCCCAAAACATGGGATGTTTTTCAGAGAGTATTCCGTACAGAAATTATCCATGATGGTAGATTGTAGAGGTATGCTCGGTTATAATAAATACATTGAGCTTTCCTTGTGGATCAGTTTTAATATTTGATATTATTAGGATCCACCTGAATTATATACCAACGGATCTATTACCTCTACTATATATATATATATATATATATATATATATATATATATATATATATATATATATGTATGTGTGTGTGTGTTTTTATATATATATATATATATATATATATATATATATATTCTTCTTTCAATAAAGTATTGACTTTTAACATGCGTTCTTTTGATGTAAAAACAAAAAAAAAACAATGATTGTTAAAATGCACCCAGTAGAAATGGAAAGGAAATGTTGAAAAGCTTTTTGAGGCCCGAACTGCACGAGCAGGCGCATGCATCTCTCTCCATCTCTTCTTTCGTGGTGATAAATTGTTTTTTATGGGGGTGGGGATTTCATGTCCGGGGTCTGATAATCTTAATCTCCACAGATCAAACGATAGTGTCTGAGAATGCGAGATTTTTACCGCTCTGTTTTTAATATTTAATTTGATAGCTTGACTTTTTTTTTTTTAATATTTCTTCAACTGGTGTTTTTCTGAAGCAACACACATTTCCTTTTCCTTGCTTTTTCTAAAAATCAATGAAAAATCGCCCTCTTTTCTACATCTAAATTCAAATGCAGATAAAGTAACAATTTCAATAGATCAGTCCCAATGACCTTATGATAGAAAGTATGTCCTTGTGAGACGCCTATTTCGTTGGGCGTATTCGTTTTCTACGGCTTATCAACCCTTTGCAGGATATTTAAAGCAACAAAATATATTTTCTTAGATTGTACGTATTTTGGGGAAGAGATAATAATGGTTAAGTGATAAAAGTCTTACTAATTGGCTGTGGGAAGATGGGGTAAATTTATACATTTCACAAGTATATTTAAGTAAATGAATCGAATCGAATAAGAATTGGAACTCGGCTCTTCTATTAACAATTCCAAACCCATTAGCCATTACACCACCGCACATACAAACATACAGCAACTGGTATTCCCAAGTGGTCATGCATCTAGGTAATGACCAGGCTCATCGTTGCTTAATTTCGGTGATTGTACGGGAGCCGTTGTTTCAATCCGATATGGCCGTAAGTTTATGCCTATATCACATTTAATATAAATAAAATGAACGCTTTCATTTCAACGAAACGCCATATTGTGAATGTCTACTTGGTCTCAGGTTTGCTCCACACATCAAGTGGAGGTCCTATATACACTTTATTGCTAAAGGCGATGGGAAAATGGCTGGCTAATTATATCGTTTCAAAAAGCATTCATTCCTTCCATCATGGTTTAGGGTTTTACAAGGGTCAGGTTGGGCCAAAATTGTATATTGTTACCATATGTATCTCAGTCAGAGGAGACACGGTGGAGTAATAGATAGCGGCTCGGATTCCATTACATTCACTTACGTGCTAATACCCTCAGCTATGGGTAAATACAAGACAGACCGGATTCTGGTCTATCGTAGAAAGAAATGGCAACCTACTGCGGGGAAAAATCTGCCTCGACATGTATCAAAAGACACATGATCGCATAAGCGTGGCACATGCTTGACTGATCACTGCAGTCTCTCTTCCACATCAACATCGCAAGCGTATCTCTGCTCTTCAGCAACCATTTTTTACCAGTGCTCATAGTGCAATAGACAGACTCTAATACTTATTAGTTATGATTAGTTCAAGGATCATTTCAGTTATGTACCATGCGTGATACACGCCTAGGCGATCATGTATCTTTCGATACATGAGTGACGAGGCAGATTTTTTTCCTGCAGTAGGTTGCCACTTCTTTCTGCTGTAGACCAGTTGTCATCCAAGGCTATAGAACCTTTTCTGTCCTGTCCACAGCTTGTCGGGGGAGAGAAGAGGAATTATACCTTTCCCAAGGGTATCAGTGAATGTCATGGATTCGACTAGAATTCGAACTCGGCTCTCCGATTCCCTAATCGGTGCTGCTCTCCATTACTCTACCATGCCTCCTCGGGTACTGTTATTATTTTGAGAAAAATTGTCACATTTGATATTAGTTATAAATATAAGCCAAAAATATGAACATGATTTGGGCTCTTTTGCCTCGTGTAACTAAAGGAGATTTTAGCTTATGTTTAATTCTCTGAACGTGGGTCAAAGCAAGGTGTGTATTGTTATGACCATCTTTTGTGTGTGTGTTTGCATGTATTTTTCTTCTTTCTCTGTTTTATTACCAGTCTCCACTCCATTTCTCGCCATTTTTTTTATCCTTCACGCTAGGCCCATCATGGCGTATTCGATTAAGACATTAAGAACAAATTGATGTCGACGTTCTCTCGACTTGGAAAGGTCGCCTGCAGTGTCCGGCGATGATTGTGGGTGTGTTAAGTGAGGACGATGGCTGGCGTGCCGAAAGACAGAAGGAGTACACAGAGAGAGAGAAATAGAGAGAGATAGAGAGAGAGAGGGATAGAGGGATAGAGAGAAGGAGAGACAGATACTAGGAGGTGGAGAGAGCCTGTTGTCTTCCTAGAACATTCGAACGAACACTAAACCTTTGACACGGGAGAATACATTAGAGCCTCTTTAATTAATATTTTCACCCATGCTCCTCTATACACAGATGTACACCCAAATATAGAGACAGTATTGAAAATACATAAATGGTTTTGCCAATGCGTACACTGAAATGCTATTTATTTAATATTTTCACTTATGCCACTCTATACACACATGTTGACGCAAATATAGAGACAATATTTAAAATACGTAAATGGATTTATACATTTTTCCAATGTGTTTACAGAAACGCTCTTTAGTTAATATTTTCACCCAGGCTCCTCTATATACGGATGTAAACTCAAATATAAGAGACGGTATTTAAATACTTAAATGGTCTTATACATTTTGCCATTGCGTATACGGAAAAAGCCCTTTTATTAATATTTTCACCTATTACTCCTCTATATACAGATGTAGACACAAATATAGACATAGTATTTAAATACCTAAATGGTCTTATACATTTTGCCATTGCGTATACGGAAAAAGCCCGTTTATTAATATTTTCACCTGTTACTCCTCTATATACAGATGTAGACACAAATATAGACATAGTATTTAAATACCTAAATGGTCTTATACATTTTGCCATTGCGTATACGGAAAAAGCCCTTTTATTAATATTTTCACCTGTTACTCCTCTATATACAGATGTAGACACAAATATAGACATAGTATTTAAATACCTAAATGATTTTATACATTTTGCCAATGCGTATACGGAAATGCTCTTTTATTAATATTTTCACTCATGCGTTTCTATACACAAATGTACGTCTAAATAAAGAGAGAGTATATGGTTTTGCCAATGCTTATACAGAAACTCTCTTTACTTAAGATTTTCACCCATGTTCCCCTATATACAAATGTACACACAAATATAGAGACAATATATATATATATATATATATATATATATATATATATATATATATATATAGATGAGTGTTTTACACTTTTTGCCAGTGCACATGCATACAATATAAGGATACAAAAATCTAAACCTTCCCTTGATTCGACTTCTACAGTTCATCAGCCATTTGCAGTTTATTTAAAGCCAGGAAACATATATTGTAAGAATTTTGTAGGAAGATAATAGGCATTTAATGATAAAGCGCTTACTAATTAACCCATAGCTGGAGGAGAAGAGGTAGATTCATGTCCCTCCCACTGTTAACAATTCCGAGTCATTTTCCACTACATCATCTGCAAAAATACAAGCTTATACCACCTGGTGTTCCCAAATTAGATACTGACAATACTCGACGTTGCTTAACTTCAGTGATATTACGGGAACCGGTGTATCAATGTGATGTATCTGTAAGCCTCACTATTTTGAAAGTATTAGTATTGCCAATGATTTTCCTCCATGCTGGCATCTTAACAAATACAGCCTCGAAGCAAAAAGAATTGTGTTCCTTTTTAGCTGTAAGATAGATTATCACTCAGTTTCATCATTACTGTGGCCTTGTGCCAGACTAAATTGAGATTACTAATTACAAACGATAGACTGGTATACAGACGTTGTGCAATTGTTATCTCTCTTTTTTTTAAACCTTTTTTTTCTTTGTCTTCGAGTTTTCTTTTGTTGGCAAAATTCTACCCCAAAATTGTAATAATAGTTATTCCCTCGAGATTGTTGCACTGTTGTTTTCTATGAGATCAATTTTTTTGTCTTCTGTTTAGCTTGCATCAAGACTCTTGGGCGTAGTTTGGCCTTCTAACGTGAAATGAATTTCTTGTCAATAATGTCGCTTTGAATGGACTCTACTATTGTAAGTATACGCAGCTTTCTTGGTTGGCACAATATGTATGTATGTATGTATGTATGTATGTATGTATGTATGTATGTATGGGCGCGTGTTAGGTGGTTAGAACGTTCGTTTTCTGACCAAGAGACTTGGGTTCGAATCTCATGATGGTCGATTTGTCAAGCTATCCCAGCGTGTGGCATCGTTGGAAAATGCCCGACAAAAGTCGCGATTGAAACAGTTTCAGTGGTTGTGCTAGCATAAGGTCTCAAGACATTGAAAGCAACGGTTTGAGCGCTCTGGCATTTTTCAATCTTCTGATTACGCCAGATTATGCGATCTGTAGAAACGGCAACCAAGATTCGCTCAGCTTAATTGGAGTATAAACCCCAGGTGGTTGAACAAACACAAACGGGTTTGAGTTCCCATCTATCTATCTATTCTCTTTCTCTCTCTCTCTCACTCTCTGTATATATATATATATATATATATATATATATATGACGTCACACATTATGAAATAGACAAAATCCGACAATTATTTTAAGACATTTTTATGTTTATACATTCTTTTTATAGATACAAATATTTGAGTAAATGCTCTGTTTATAATAAACACTATTAAACAACATTTACCGGCCTGAATTTCGAGACATTTTCACAGAAAATATTCGTCCTCCTACAGGATTCGAACCTGTATCCTATACGGACCGTCATTTAGCTTGACGTGCCTTTACCGATTTGATAATGTGTGACGTCATTTGTTTACATTTGATACGCCATGAGCAGATATGAATGTACGTGAGAGATTCATGGAAGATTGAAGTTTAAATACAGTAAATTCGACCTTGCTAACCGAACGCCCCTTTGTGGCCAAATCGGTAAACACACGTTAAGCTAAATGACGGTTTCGTATAGGATACAGGTTCGAATACTGTCGGAGGACGAATATATTCTGTGAAAATTTCTCGGACATTCAGTCCGGTAAATGTTGTTTAATACTGTTTATTATAAATAGAGCATTTACTTAAACATTTGTATCTATAAAAAGAATGTATAAACATAAAAATGTCTTTATATATATATACACACTCAGGGTCCGATGGGTAAATTGTCGCCATTTTATATTTTTGATTTCGCGCATGCGTATTGTTTAGTTTTGATTTTGTCGACTGCACAGCATAGTTGGGTCAGTTGGATATTCTGTGTGAGAAAAGACTGTGCCAGAAATTTGGAAACGATAGACTGTACTGCTTGGTATTTGCACCAGAAGTTCCAATATTTCGTTTTTCTCGTTTAGCAGTTAATAGTTATTTACCTTACTTCGTATATATATATATATATATATATATATATATATATATATATATATATATATATATATATATATATATATACACTCTTGTATGTGTGTAGGCGTGCTTAGAGCAGCAGATTTATCTTATACGCACGCACACGTCACTGAAGGATTTTCTAAATCCTTCCATGACGACCGGTACTATGATATCATCAACTATTTCTTACCATCAAACTCTGCGATCTTATCTTTCCATCTTCTGTCTAGCCTTTTCCTATTTCGTTTGTTATCCTTTGGGGCAGCAGTCAAGAAAATGTTTGCTCCGTTTTTTATGTTTTATTCCTTCCCGCCCGTGTCCCGTCCGCATCCATTGTTGATGTTTAGTTACTTTCATGATATTTCTTATTTTGTTCTCTTCCCTCATTCATGTTGAAACTCTTTTCTGTCTCTATAATTTTCTCTCCATTGATATCTATCTGCTGTATATTCTCAAGGTATTCCGTTCTCAGA